TTGGAAGAAAAAAGGGGGGGGCCCCAGGGGGGGGGGGGGGGGGGGGGGTTGGTATTGGCATTTCACCTCAGGGAAGAGTCCTTAGCTGGTTGTGGGATGTGAATGTATAACTGGGAGCCAATCACTTTAAGGGTTTTTAAAGATTTTTTCCACCCACAGCTCACATGAGAGAGAGGGTTAATGGCTACACACCTAGGACAGTACAAACTCCACACTCACTAACCACTTCTCAGCTACACAGTGCAGGGGGCCTTTAAACCGATTGTGATAACACTGTGTTTGGCAGAACTTTAGCTGGTTAGCAAACATAGCACAGAACCCCCTGGGCGAGACACCTGATTCCCTGCAAGCTTAAAGCCAAATTCCAGCTTCTCCAGCAGGCAAAGTTCCTCCCTGGTTCTCCATCCCAGGCACAGCTTCCCTCTTCAGCCGACAGCACAGCTGCAGACCCCGACACTGGGTTGGGTACTCTTCCCGCTTGGGGCAAGGTGGCTACATATATTGTATATTGCCCACCCTATGTCACTGACTGCAGGTACCTCCTATAGAGTTCTGAATGATGACCTATCTCAAAACAAGGCCACCAGACCAACATATCTTATTAGTACAGGCCCAGGGGTGAGTGCCCCTAAGTCAGTCCTCCCCTGAAGTCAAGATAAAATCAAGTGCATAACACGCAGACTTGTAATATCCCCTACACAAAGGAGTGACGTCACTAATGCTCAGAGAGCAATTTCTCTATTACAAGATGGTCAGAATGCACTTTTGTGTCTTTCACTAGTTTCTCTGTGATATCTCTTTGATGTGAAAGCTTTACTCCACCTTATGTAGAGCTCATGTCCCTTCTGCTCTTCCTAAAAGCCAGCTCTCTGGGAATCCAATCATGTAATATAATATAAGATGTAAGCCATCATCTCTATTGTTTTATTGTTTAAACAAGGGGGTGACCTTATAGAAGCATTACTTTACATGACCATCAAAACCGTAGAAAAGGTGTGCAGTGAAGATAGGAAACGCAATTCACTTTAATCAATTTTGACAAGCTACAGATATATACATTACATGTCATAATTATTGTAAATGCAAACTGTAAACAAAACTATATCCTTTCATATATGTAATGCATTACATTGTAAGTCATGATAATACAGTAATAAATTGCTATTTTTCTTTTACACAGACATTCCCTGGTAAATGGTTTTGTAAAGAATAAGAGGGTATAGCAGCCGCAGAGCGGTGTTCCCACATGCACAGATCCCACGCTCTTATCGCCGTCCAGTGAAGACGTTTTCATGTTTACTGTCAACAATGTGTTACAACAAACTGACATTTGTTTTAATTTAACCACTGTATTGTCAGATCCGCTACATAACTCTCCCAATCATGAAACTAGAGTATTAATGTGTTATCGACCATTAATACCTTTTTTATTTATTTTTTTAAGTTGCATTTGCTGCAGAATCTAATGAAATGTTACAGTATTTCTTAAATATAACAAACTAAAAATAATAGTGTTTTGGGGTTTTTTTCTTTCAATTTGTTGCTGGGGTTTCATTAGTGTGTGGGTAACTATACATGTTGGTGCATCAACTGAAGTTTCACTACAATATAGATTTAAAATCAGCAGTGTTTATCAGGCCCCAGTAATTCAGTGATGCTGCTTTGTTCTTTTGGTGGTTTCTTCATCATGCAGCTGTCTTATTTAAATAGCAATGATTGCCCTCCAATAAGTGCTATAAGGTTGCCGAATACAAAGTCCTGAAATACTAGAAGGACCTCCATCCAGGTTTAATTCGCCACTACTTTTCTGACTTTTCTGCTTCTTCAATGGGTTCTGTGTAAGACAGGGGCACCTTAGTGCTTCCGCATAAGAAACAAACTTGTCGGTGAAGCAGCTGGTGGTGGGACCAAGAGGGAGGCTCCTTCAGGCTGTAACTGTTTTTTTTGTTTTTGTTTTTTCTTATGGGAACAGCAAAGGGGAGCAATGAACCCAAAGTCTGATTTTTACTAACATTGCGACCGGCTCACTTTTTTTGTGGGGCAGGAGGGGGCGTGGCGGGCCATTGAAGTCAATGGCACCGTAGCCACACCCTCCGGCCACAATGCGATCGGCCGTGCGGGATCGCTAGGCACATTATGCCTGCGGTCCGGTGCGATCAAAATAGTGCTTGCAGCATTTTGATTGCACTGGACCAGACCGCAGTCATAATGTGCCTTTCAATCCCGTGCGGTCCCCTCCTGCCCCACAAAAAAAGTGAGCCGGCCGCAATGCGAGGCAGTGCGTTCTGGCCAGAATTGGGCCGGAAGGCACTGCATCTGGTGTGACTGAGCCCTTAAGAAGCCAAGTAGAAATCCTAACCTAGGTAAAAGCTATTTAAAATGCAAGAATTATTTCATTTAGCTTATGCGATGTGAATGGGAACATGTAAGAAATATAAAATAGGCATTTGGCTGCAAAATTGGAAATACACTTTGAAAAATTAATTTCTTCACAATGCCCATAGCTACATAGATGAATGAGGGCTTGTTTTAAAGTGCTGCCTGTTGGAGAAAATGTAACACAAATTGTTAGAAACAGGTTAATATTTATGTTCATGTTTGATGATCTATATGACACAGTATGCTTCCGATGTAGCACTCTTTTGATTGCAGTTTCAGCCAAATACCTAGTTAGAAATTAGAAATGGTGTTATCTGTCAAGAAATTTGCAAGACATTGGATATATTAACCCAGCTACCCCTGCTGTGGCTAATAGGACTGACATTGCTATACAGAACCTGCAGTTCTGTAGACTCTGTGCCACTGTTCTGTCCTGTAGCAGTTAAACTGAATAAAGCATGCATAATACAGGCAGCAGCAGCTGCTAAGCTAGGGATGGATGCCCAGGAATATGTTCTGGGTCATAGAGACACTCTGCTAGGAACATGTAAACTACATAGAAGACTATTGTTAATTTAGCCAGGGTTAAAATAAGCATGTGCAGCACTCTGCAAAAAAACATGCTCATGCTTCTGCATAGTGAAATTTTTCAGGGAAGTATCCATCACATGGAAGATTCTGCTAGGGACATGCTGAGCACACTTCCATGGACTTTCTGTCCAATTGGGACTTCACAGGGGAAAAGCAGACTATATAGAACTCCATGCAAAGTTATGCTATGCACATAATTCCGTTAGGAACATGCTGAGGACTTGGCACACTCTGCTAGGGAAATACTGAGTACACTTGACACTCTGCCAGGAAAATGCGGTACACATTAGGCACCACACCAGGCACAAGGATCACTTTGCAAGGGCAATGCTAACCACACTGGACACTGCCAGGCACATGCTGACTCTGTTGGATTGTGTGCCAGGGACATGCGGAGCACACTAAGCTTACTGCCAGGCTGATCACAAGAGGCACTCTGCAATGGACACAGAGAGCACATAGAACACTTCAAATGAACAAGTTAAGGGGTCACTCTGCTAGAGACATGCACTACTTTATGTACACTGTGCCAGCAACATGCTGGGTTCGCTGTGAGCTCTGCCAGGGATATAGTGGGCACAAGAGGAACACTAGAAGGCATATGCTTAACGTATAGGATTTTACTGCCAAGGACATGCTGTCACAAGGCACACTGAGACATGGACAAAAAGCACTTTCTGACATGGACATGTTGGTCACAATGAGCACTCTGCTGCCAGTGACACACTAACCATATGAGATTCTCTGCCAGGGACATCCTGAGTCCTATAATAAGCTATAATGTAATAAGCACATGGGGGTGCTCTACCAAAAACATGCTAAACCAATGCAATACTCCATGAGACATTCTGAGCACTAGGAACATCCTGCCAGGAACATGCTGATCACATTGGGAAAACAAATGCTAAGGACATGGGATGCTGCTTTAAGGACAAAGTGATTACATGGAGCATTCTGACATATTTAAGCATGCTTATAATATAACCCAGGGGTGGGCAAATCTCATCATGCGTCTACCTTTGGGAGTCATGGCTGTGGCTGTCAGAGTCTTGCAATGCTTCATGGGACTTGTAGTTCCCCAACAACTAGAGGACCAGATTGCCCACCCATGATGTAACCAGTGATATCTTCTGTGACAGCGCAGTCACGTGGCTTCGTTCCGAAACACAAATTCAGAGGGATCTGAAATACGAATAACGAAAAAATAAAATTTTGGATTCGAAATACGAAATAAATAAAAATCCAAATTGATCAGAAGCTAAATAAATTTGTTTGCTGGGTTACAAGTCTAGCTACCACATGTAGGTAGAATAAAGATGGTTTTCTGGTAACTATCCTAACTGAACTAAAGAATTCTTTTATGTCCTCTGAAAGGAATATGTAAGTGAACATGAGAGTATTTTTCCTGAAGTTATTTTTAATATTGCTTTGTTTCCTTCAAATGTCATACTGCATCAAGAGCTGTAATTAAACAACAAATTGAGTTGCTGTAAGAAAAAATGGTTTAATAAAAGTATTTTCAAATGCACTGTAAAGGACCACTATTGTAAAAAAAAATCTGTATTATGATAACCCTATATGGTTAATACATGTCATGGTAATATTCATAGTATTCACTACATAAATGTATGGCTTTATTTCATGGACCTTCACATAGAGGCCAAGCTGTCCGGTTTCAGTGAATGTAATATATATATATAACACTACCGGGGCACTTCAGCATGTTTAGCAATATTTTTTTGCAAGGCGTAAATCATATGTTGTTAGTAGGTATGCACAGACACCGATACTAGTATCAGTGCCGACACCCGAGTACTTGTACTCGCCCAAATGCTCCAAAACTTATCCCCGATACCGGAACTTCCAGTCAGAGGGAAACCACTTTTGCCCAGAGTTCTGCTTGAAAAAAAAAAGTTGGAGTCTTTAAGAAAGTAACAAGCACTTTTTAGGAGGCTATGTCTGTGGACTATTGAATTGTCTTCCAAAAAGGAACTTCGGGTTGCAGTGGTTTAAAGGAGAACTATGAGGTGAGTGCTTTTCACTCATCCTCATAGTTCTAGCCGACCTGTGACAATGAGACTGTCACAGGTCGGCTCAGTAGATCGGGAAGTGAGCGAACACATACCGGTGTTCGCTCACTTCTCGATCCTGTCACGGCAGAGAGCCGTGACAGGGGAGGGACTGGATTCCCCCCTCCCCACTCCGGTCCTCCAGCGCTGACTGGCGGAACGGACGGGGGAGAGGGCTGGTACAGCTGGCTCTGCCTCTAGATAGGCAGAGCCAGCTGTAACTCATGCAGCTGAGCGGATCCAGACATTATTGTCGGGATCCGTTTTAGCTGCGGCTTCTCAGTATACCGCGAGCTGCAGCTTGCGGTATACTGAGCTTTGGGTAACGGGAGGACACTACTGTATATCATGCATTTTTACAATAAAAGTAATCAGAATACAAAACTTGGATAAAGGAATACACATAAAAGGCAAGATGTTTAATATTTCTTTTGGACACTCACTGCACTAAATATTTCTACTAGAAGGGCTCAAGTTTGCCATCAAGGGGGGGACTTTGTCCTCTTATTCAGGTGGCTGTGTATATATAGGAGTCCATGCGAGTGTATGGAAACACACTTTTAATTGTTATTTGTTGGTGATGAAGTTTGAGAAGAATTTTACTACTATGTAATTTATGTGAAATGGATTAATAAAATGGCATTTGGTTTTGTAATTGGTGTAACATTTTTTGGGGGGACTTTGTTTTTTCAAGCTTTCCTGTCCCAGTGAACAGTATAGGAAGCAAAAGGAATATTAGCAATAATGCTATATATGCCAATAATTCCTCTATATAACTATAACATCAGTTGACTTTAACAGTGAGTAAATACAGTATTAAATTTATGTTTGCTTTCAGCCTTTATGTATTTGCTGAGAGGGCAGATCACTGAATTTTTGTATATTTTCTCATGTATCGTCATCTATTTTAATTCTCAAGGTATTTATAGATAACTTTGCCCCAAAATATTTAAAATCTTTACTATTATTATTATGCAGGATATTTCTATCAGCAATATCCAGAAATACTGAATAGGTCGTTTTCGAAACATATTATTAGGGAATAATATCAGTCCTTTCTATTCCATTTACGTATTCATGTACAATTGATCCCTTAGAACATTTGGCCAAAAAATACCCAATGTTATGAAAGAGACCATTATGCAGGATGTGTAAAGGATTTTAGAAATACTGGGTGACTGCACTGGTAAAATGTTCGAAATCATGGCTGAATACTGTATTGCTGAAATGTTATTGTTCGTCTTACAGTAGGATTGGCACCTTTTCTTCAAGCGAAACCCGAACACTCTAGGGACGCGCAGACGTGGCAACCCTATCTTACAGCCTAATTGAACTTTTAGTTTTTAAACAGCTAATTATATTCAGTGTGCATTAAACATAGGTTGTTCAAAGTCTCACAGTGTGTATTTTGATAGCAGCAACAGCTGGAGTAGACAATCCTACTCTGCAAGCCAGCATGCAATAGAGAAGGCCCCTTGCACTCTGTGGCTCTC